GGAGGGTAGATACATCATTAGGGCAAGGAATATATACTGCTTTTGCTTTTTTTAATGTAATTATTAGTTAGCTTTTTATTTAATTTTTCATGCACTGTATTTTATCATACCCTTTCACTTCATTAACTCCTTTTAATTCTTCCCCACCTCCCTACCAAGCAAGTTTTTGTTGTTACACATCAAGAGCTTCTTAAGGTGGTTTCTCAGTTTCAAATGGGAGCATGCAATTTCTGATTAATATATAAGTCAAATTCTGGAATCAACTGATGGAAGACCTTTGTGAGCATACCTGCCTTCTTGCATTCCTGCTAGCTAATACTGTTTTAAGAGTTACTTTAGGGGCTGGAAAGATGGCTCAGTGGTTAATGCACTGGCTACTCTTTCAGAGGACCTGAGTTCAATTCCCAGAAACCATATGGTGGCTCACAACCATCTATAATGAGATCTGGTACTCTCTTGTGGCATACAGGTGTACTGTGATAGGACACCATTTTATGTTTTTTTAATTAATGAATTAATTATTTACACTCCAGTTTTCATTCCCCTCCTGGTCCACCTTCTGACTGTTCCACATCCCATACTTCCTCCCCACACCCCTGTCTCCACAAGGATGTCCCCCACCACCCACCCCACCAGACTTCTAAACTCCCTGGGGCCTCCAGTCTCTTGAGGGTTAGGTGCATATTCTCTCACTGAGTCCAGACCCGGAAGTCCTCTGCTGTATATGTGTTGGAGGCCTCATATCAGCTGGTGTATGCTGCCTGGTTGGTGGTCCAGTGTCTGAGAGATCTCAGGGGTCTGGGTTAATTGAGACTGCTGGTCTTGCTACAGGGTCACCTTCCTCCTCAGCTTCTTTCAGGCTTTCCCTAATTCAACCACAGGGGTCAGCAGCTTCTGTCCATTGGTTGGGTGCAAATATCTGCAGCTGACACTTTCAGCTGCTTGTTGGGTCTTTCAGAGGGCTGTCATGATAGGTCCCTTTTTGTGAGCATTCCATAGCCTCAGTAATAGTGTCAGGCCTTGGGGCCTCCCCTTGAGCTGGATCCCACTATGTTGCTGAACCTTCTTTTCCTCAGGCTCCTTTCCATTTCCATCCCTGTAGTTATTTCAGACAGAAACAATTATGGGTCAGAGTTTTGACTGTGGGATGGCAACCCCCTCCCTCACTTGATGCCTTGTCTTTTTGCTGGAGGTGGGTTCTGTAAGTTCCTTCTCCCCACTGTAGGGCATTTCATCTAAGGTCCCTCCCTTTGAGTCCTGAGAGTCTCTCACCTCCCAGGTCTCTGGTGCTTTCTGGAGGGTCCCCCCAACCTCCTACCTCCCATGGTTGCCTGTTTCTATTTTTTCTGCTCGTCCTCAGCACTTCAGTCCTTTTCCCTCACCCAAAACCAGATCGTGTTCACTGACACCATTTTAAAAAAGAAAAAGACACAAAGGTTACTTTCTGAGCCAGTGAGATAGTGTTGGATTCCTGAGACACGTATGTTGGGAGGAGAACCAACTCTCATAAACTGTTCTCTAATCCACACGTCAAGCCACACACACACACACACACACACACACACACACACCACACACACTCCACACACTCACAAATAAACAAAATAATCTCAATAGTTATTTTTCAATCAGGAGAAATTATCCCATTTATCCACGGTGCAAAAGTTTATTATTAACCAAGAGCAAGGTTTATGTTAAACCACGTTATAAATTTTCTATTTATCACTTCCTCTATATATTCCTCTTCCTTTTTCTATATATTATGCAAATATTGTTTTTCTTCAACTAAATTCTCAAATATATACACAGGGCTGTTTGATGGTATTGGGAATTGAACTTAGGGCTTCACAGAACTCCATGCCAGGTCTCACATGGGGCCGTTTTATTCTTATTACCTTTGTCACTGGGCTCCAACTATTTTTTTGCATATACATAATTAAACAATTAAATATAAGCTATAATAATATTTTCATTCCTAAATAATACTCAAATATTCTAAAAAGACATATACCATGATAATTATAAAATATGCCAAGCAGATTTTTTTGAAAAGCTGAAATCAAATCCCAAGCACATATCTGACTATATTAACTAGTCCTTTGCTATATGGTTCTGGTCATTACAGCTTTATAATATCTTTGATATTTGGAGAAACATCACTTCCTTATTTTCCCTTTATTCTGTTTTTTATAAACTTCAATTACTCTTCTGTTTGAATGCTAGCCTCAGAGTCACAGAGATTCTTCTGTCTCTGTTCTAAAGTGCTTGGATTAAATATGTGTGCCACCATGCCTGTCCTGAAAAAAAATTGTTTTTGACAGTAACTGTGAATTGGTATTGAACCCATGAACTCAGAGAGCCAACTTTATTTTGTTCCAGGGGGTAATGATGAAAGTACTTTTATTCAGAATAAATTGAATTTTTTACCAAGTTATTGTTCTTGAAAGGAAAGGGGTCTTCAGAGATCAGGTTTGAAATGGGACTCTGTGGTTTGTTTTAGTTTCATATGTTCTCTCTGCCTGTGTCCTAAAAGTCGAGGACTGCTTCAATTGGCATTAAGGGACCAGATACAGGAACACACATGCGAAGTTCCAAAAACTCAAAAGGCAGAGGTAGGAAAGCCACATGAGACCAGGAGTTAATGACCGACTTGAACAATATACTGAGATCCTGCCTCTAAAATAAAAGTTGAAAGAGGAATGACTCCTCATGAAATAGGAACACACAGCCTCTTGTATGCCACAGTTTCCACTGACCACTTTGATTTTGTTCTTTTTTGGTCCAAGACAGCGTCTTACATAGCTGGTCTCTAAATCACTGTGTAGATGAAGTTCCTGCCTCTACCTCCTAGGTGCTGAGATTACAGATAGGCACTACTGCATCCAGTTTGTACAGTGCTGGGGAAGAAACACACAGCTTTGTGTATGCTAGGCAGGCACTGTAACAACTGTGCTACAACCTCTGAGCCTACTCTGATTTTTTTCATAGAACCAGTTACCTAGCCTTGTCTTTGACAACAGTTCAGTTTGCTTTCATCCACATAAAGTAGAATGGTTTATATTTGGCCTCCAAATGTTTCAAATTGAAAACTGTTTTTCATTGCAATTGCCGTGGATAAAGTGATAGGGTAATGAACATGTTCATGTACTTCACTGTTTTCTAAGATTTCTGTGGAACCATGGTTATTGAAGGAGAGGAAGCTCCAATTGCATACACATTGGATGATACCAAACCAGATGGCACCTATGCTGCTATAATAGGGTAAGGCACAATTATAGTATTATAGCTGTATTTGCTATTGGGAAAATAATACAGTACCATTGATTAAGGCATGCAAAGCTTAGTTTAAACTACTGTTCTGCAAAACCAGTGATAGGAGTATTCTTATTACTTCTTTTTAAAGAATAAATATGTATATATAAAATACCAATAGCCTTTAAATTTTGTTATGTTAATTTTCTACTTCATATTAGTGTATCAGTGGATATGTTTTGGGACCATCTTTACGTGATAGACTGATACTAAGAGGAATATTTTACCAAGAGTTCTCCTTATGGAGACTGTGTGGGCATCCACGTTGTTTACTATGTTTTCTGTTACTATAGCAAAGTTCTTAAGGCTGAGTAACTTATAAAGAGAGGATGTTCATTGTACCTTACAGTTCTGAAAATCTAAGAGCGTGAAATTAATATTTACTAGGCTTCTGATGAGGGCCTTGTGCTGCTTCAAAACATAGCAGAGAGGAAGCAAGGACACAGGCAGAGAAGCCAACCTTGTTATTTAAAATAACCCACTCTCCCAAAGAGCAGTCCACTGTCATGGAAACCATATCAATCCTTTGAATTTCCCATGATTCATAATACTCTGAAAGGCCCAACCACTTTTCAACCCTACTATGTTATAAATTCAACATGAGTTTTGGTGAGGACAACTATATCTAAATCAACTATATCTAAACCTTATGTGAGTGAGTTTTTGAGATTTTTTTTCTGAGTCCCACTACAAAGAAGTGGAGGCCAGCCCTAGGGACAACTCTCCTCAGCACAGCTGAAGTGTGTTTAGGGTCTAGGATTTGAGGCAAAGATATATTTGCCTTGAGGAGGAAGACTTGACCTACAAAAAGCCAAGGCAAGAAGAGCAAGGGCAGAGAAAGTGGTGAAGCAAGAAGCAATTTCAGGGCTGGAAATGAGACAGCATCTTGAAGGTTTCCTGTTACAGGAGCATCATGGTGGAGACAGAACCAAAGGGCAAAGAAGGACTGGATGTCTCAGACACACCCTTAAGTCAGCATCTAGTCTCTTGGTCACTGAGTCTGCTGAAAGGCAGTAGATCTTTCATCATCATAACCTAGGAGAAATCATAGCCAGTCATTTACTTTTAGTCCTGTGATCCCCCAAACCCAGAAAGTGCTCCTCAGTATCAAGAATGAGACACTGAAGCAAGGGTACTTGTGAACATTAAGTCAGAATATAGGTGGTTTCCTTGCATAGTACACAGGGCATGTGTAGCCAGAGAAATGAAGTGAAGAAAAAAGTGTTAAACTGCTCTCCTTTTCTTGTTTGTATATTTTAGATTTATCCTTGCTCACAAAGCTAGGAAACTTGTGCGCCTTACTAAAGAAGAAAGGTAACAAAATCTTCTTTCCTTCTTCCTTCTTTCCTTCTCTTCTTCTTTCCCTCTCTTCCTCTCTCCCTCCCCATCCTCTCTTTCTTCCTTTTATCACTCCTTCCTTTTTTAGTTGATAGGAAGATAATTTTTTTAGAACAAAACACACACTCAATAGGGAATGTAGACTTCTCAAGTAAGTCACTTCTTTCTTTCTCTTCTTTCTTTTCTTCTTCTTTTTTTACTATTTGCTTGCCATTTGATGTTTATTGACTTTTTAGCATACAAAATACTTCATAACATGTGTATTGTTAATGTGATATATTATGTTAATGATAAAGGTCTTATATGTCACAGTGCTTATTACTTAAGAACAAATATTCAAATTGATACTTACCGAATTATTATACACAAGACATTATGCTAAGAACTATGAGCATTATGAAAACGGATGTAAGGCAAGTGCTGAACATTTACTTATGGAGGGGATTATTAAGTAGACAAATTGCTAGGTTAGGCAGCATTACATAAATGATGCATAGCAATTACAGGTTATAGGTACAGAGACTAATTTCTATGGAGGCTCTCTCTCCTAGCAATTTGTATCCACCACTGCAAATATGTATACCTGTACCACAACTGATAACATATTTAATGACTCAAAGCCCAGATGACTTTACAGTGCATTATTTCAGTTTGCATAGCATGTCTCTCCATAACCCATGCCACCTCAGTGTATGGCTAGAGCCTTGGAGGGCTGACTGGGCCACAGATTTCAAACTGTCCCCATTGGAATATAAGATCCATGAAGGTTAGAAAGTGTTATCTGATTGACTCTCTGCTGAATCTTCAATTCCTTGAGCACATCTTTTCCCAAGTTGTCTTTTTGTGTATGTTCACAGATTAGTACATCATATACTGTAGCAACTACATCTTTCATGTGATCAGGATTATTTATTCTAATAGTTTAATAAATGATCTGTCATACACAGAAAAAACTCCTATTTTAATATATCATGTTTGCTTTATCTTTTAGATTTTATTTTTAAGTGCATGTGATATGTATGAATTGCAAATGTGTGTGACATGTGTATACATGTGTGTGTTGCATATGTGCATGTGTGTGTGAAACAGAGAGACAGAGAGACAGAGAGAGTTCAGGCGCCTTTGGAGGCCAGGAATGTCGAATATCCCTAGAGCTGACATTATTAGCTGCTATGAACTGTCCAGTGTTGATGCTGGGAACTGACACACTTTTAACTTCTGATCCATTTTTCCAGTCCTATTAGATATGTATTTTCAATTATCTATTCTTCCACTGCTTTTGAGTGATTGTAATGAAAGTGGTATAGACTCAGCTGCTGCCTGTTCAGGCTGTCTTCTGACTCACTACATAGCCCAGACTTGCCTTTAACTCACAATCTTCCTGCCTCCATCTCCCAAGTGCTGAAATTACAGGCACCACCTTGTCCATTTCTGGATTCATCTACTCTCTGAAAATCTTTTCTTTTCCTGAAGTATATTTTTATGTAAGAGGTAATGCCATGGAGAGTAGAGATACTCATGAAGACTTACTTCTTTATTTATTTTTTTTTTGTTTTTTTATTAAAATAATTATCTTTTCATCTTTCTCCTGTCCAGCCTTTTCTATTTCTTTTCTTTTTTTCTTTTCTTTTTTTCTATTTTCCTTTAATTTTTTTAAAATGTTAATAAAAGGCTTTATAAGTTTGGTAATGCTCAATAACAAGATGCCTATACAATCAGAAGTGTAACCCAATACCCAACCTAATATACCAACTATCTTTGACTGATGGAGACACTCGAACATCTGCCTCCATGTTCCCCTCCCCCCCTCTCGGAGGACTTACTTCTAACCAAAGACTTATTGATGGATTCTAGAGAAGGGTTCATCAGTTTTCTTTAAGGATGTAGACTTCGGTAAATCGACTATGGTCTAGTGGATGACCCCACACCCATGAATATATAGCTAGCAATAATTGGACTTGGTGAGTTTTGTTTGAAAAAGAGGGGATAGGGAGTGGATATGAGGATTTGGGGAATGAAAATGATCAAAATATATTGTATACATGTATGAAATCTCAAATAATTAATAAAAATATATTTTTCACAAGGAAGTGAAGGTTCAGCTTTATTTCTTTCCTGGGCAGCCATATTTTTGAATTATCAGTCTCTTCTCCAAGAGTTTAAAATGCCCACCTTCCTAAATTCTAACCCTCTTTACAAACTTCGTTTTATTTCTGGAGCTAACTGCATATCTCCACTCTGCCACCGTTCCTCTGTCCATGCCATGGTATTCCAGAGAAAGACAGGGGCTGAAGACATAAACACTTTAAATCTTTTGCTTGTAGAAAGAGTTCCTAGGTGTAAAACAGTATTACATTGTAGAAAGATATTTATCTATGCATATGGGTGTTTTGCCTGCATGCATGTCCGTACCCCACATGTGTACCATGCTTGGTGCCCACTGATGCCAGAAGAGTATATTGGATACCCTGGGACAGGAGTTACAACCTGCTATGAGCTACAGCATAGATGCTGAGGATTGAACTCAGGTCCTCTGTTAGCACAAGCAGATCTCTTAACTCCTGAAGGAACACTCCAGTCTACAATAACACTACTTTTAAAATGAATTAGCCAAGCTGTAAATCATGTTTAAGATTCCCTTGTGCATTTCTAATCTATAAAGGCCAATATTGAAATAGCTATGCTCATTTATAGAAATATAACTGTATTAGTGACTAGATTTATATTAATTGATAAATAAGTTGATTTGCCTTAAGTGACTAATTATGACAGTTGACTTACTTCCAGTTTTCCCACTAGACTTAAGAGCGAGTATTTATAAGCATTTATTTATTGCAAACCATTATTGGGCTATGAAAATTATATTAGCAAATTTTTAAATTTGAGAAGCCCTTGGAAGGCTTAGGAAGCACAGATTACTATCACCTTCTCTGAGTCAAGAGTCAGGAGCAGAACCTGAGACTGTCTTTTCTAAGTTGACATGCCCAGTGATTCATTCTACTTTCTTTTATAAAGATTTAGCAACAGTCTCACTACACAGTCTCGCTACATTCCTATTTGTGAGCTCCTGCTTTTAAGGCATTAGAAGTAGAACAAATTCTTGTTTTCAAAAATTAAAATAAGGCTGGATATGGTCACTCTTGCTTGTAATCATGCTGTGTGAGAGGCCAAGGCAGGAAGATTGAGAATCCCAAGCAAGCCTAGGCTACATAGCAGCGCAGCATCTCAAGCAAAGGAGCACCAAAATTAGTTAACCTGAAAGGTCAACGTGGAAGCAATGGTACCCAGAGACTTTTTCTTAAGAGAATAGGTGCCTCCCCTTTTTCTTCCCCTTACTTCCTTTAAGCTTCGCTTTTATCATTAAAACATTTTATTTCTCTGTTGTACAGACTGAGGAAACTTTGTGAGCTATATGCAAAAGTCCTGAACTCCCAAGAAGCTCTGCAGGTAAGGCTGTTTCCCAGCCTTTGCCCAATGGGAAGAGGCCTGCTTTGTCCTGAAAGACTTTTCAGGGATGGGTTCATGCCAAGAGAATCTTATCTTTCCCCAATATACTCACAGAAGGGTCTGTACATGTAGGATTGGTGCACAAATGGTTCTAGAAAGTGTTTCACTCAGCTGCAGGGAGTGCTTCTTTTGTCCCTAAATTCAGAACTGTCTCTGGGATCAAGCTCATGGGTGACAGCAGTGAGTAATTAACGTTCTCAAGCACTGTATGAAGAGGTTGAATGGAAAATGTCACTTAAAGAGGAAAATGGTTGTTTTAGTATTTTCCCCAAAAGGGATAAGTTTTCATTTGCAAAAGTCTCTTCTAAGAAGGATATTGATGATTCATTTCTGATGATGAAATGCTGTTGCTTCTGTCCTCGTGTGCTTTTTGTACAAAGAAAGTCATTTGCTTCACTGGGGCTTCGGTGTTTGCTGTGTGAGTGGAAGCAATTCCTTGGAGGAAGGAGACATGAAAGAAGAAGTCCAAAGAGCCAAAGAAGGATGCTCAGGAAGCATTATCAGTCCTCAGATGTCAGAACACAGCATGATGATAATAATACCAGAAGAGTTCCAGGGCCTTTCACTACTTAAGCACAGCCTCACACCTTGTAAATACAATGCCTATGCAAAGTCAGTTACATGATCATAATTTATTTTAACAAAACGTTTTTCAAAGTCTAGTTTTAATTTTTTTGTTATATCAGTTTTCTCTTTTCAAAATGATGCTTAGTGATAAACTTTCTGTTTAGGGTATTCATCGTTGGCCCCTCCCACCCCTGGATAAAATTAAACATAGGGTGCTGACACACTAGTCATGTGCTCTATGACTGAGCTACTACTCTGGCCTCTGTTTTTATAAGGAGTTCAGAGTTTGTAAAACTCTCAGCTAAAATACAGCCTGTTGATTGCTAAAGCATATTTTCTAGACCAATGGTTGTTTTACATGTCTCACTATCCCTCCATAGTGAAACCATTTCACCTTCAGCAAAGCTAACCCCTACCAAAACATGAAACTCACTGCCATTTGTTTTTCACAGATACACACTTTTGCTTTTTTATTCTTGGAAAGCCATTCTTGTAAACTATATCATTTTAACGCTTTTCTCAAAACCATTAGACACTAAAACTTTCTGATAGACAAAAGGAAGGTGAAAATGGAAACAGATAATTACTGTCTCTGTCCAGAAATAGTGGTGCATTTTCATATTCTCAATACTTGTAAGCAACAGAAGAGGATTAAGAATCTCAGGCCAGTATGCTACATGACAAGACTTTGTCTCAAAAAAAAACTTACTACATGCATGTGCCAAATGGAAAAAAAAGCTTTCTAAGGTCTGAATTTATTCAAGTTTATTATTGAGAGCGTTTACCTGCCCAAAGACATGTCTTCAGAAACATCAGGCTAACATGACCCGATTTCAGAAGTACAGTCAACCCCTCTGTATATAGAGGTTATGCAAAATATTTGAAAAAAAATCACACATACACTGAAGACTCAGTGTGGTATTTGCATGGCATTTATAGTGTGTTATGTAACATAAACAATCAAGAGGTAATTTAAAGCATACAGGAGGATATGCACAGGATATAGGCAAACGCTATGCCACTTTCTACAAGGGGCATCAGTAGCAATAGGAATCAGGAAGTTTGGAAGCACTGCCCTGCAAATTCCGAGAAACAGCTGCGTTTGGTTCTCTGGAATGAAATCTACTAGCATGTGTTCCATATACAATAGACAAAATACCTTCTTCTGCCTCTTTCTCAAGTCTTTTTCCATCTGCCTTAACAGCCAGTCCATTATGAAGAGAAGAATTGGTGTGAGGAGCAGTACTCCGGGGGCTGCTACACAACCTACTTCCCTCCGGGCATCTTGACCCAGTATGGAAGGTACTACCTAATCACTGCACCAACTCATCCAGGGCTAGCATACCTCCAGGCACGACGTGTTTGATGAATAGGAGTGTGCTGAGCTGTGACAGAAAGCCCCTGTGATTGAAGCCAAGCTCCACATAGGTTACCATGTTTTTCTCCCTGATTTTTACTTTCCTGTCAATACCAGGAAGCATCTTCAGAATTTCCTTTGATGCTCATGATTCTCACAAAGGAAGTCATGGTGCCGCACCATCGTGTTGTTTCTGGTCATCATTCCTCTAGAGAAGCAAACTCAGTCAACGTAGCTGAAGGAAGTTGAAACATAAGAAACACTTTAGACAGCCAGAGGTTTTGTTCAGACTGCCAATAGACTATCCTAATACTGAGTCTAGAACTCAGGAAAGTTCCTCAAGAGCACCTCTGTGTCAGTGTGAGCCTGGCTCTGTAAACTCAAAATCAATTCTAAACCAGGCAAGAAAGGGATTGAGTTCCTTCTGTAATCCTACCAATCACCTATTTAGTCATTTATTGTTGTTGGATTTTACTTTCCTAAGCATATGGATGAGAAACACAAGACAATGGTTGATAGCCTGAGTTATTCTTTAGCAACTTTATTCTAACACATGATATGACTCAGCCCTTCAGAGTCCATGGGCTTTTTAGAGCTCACAGAATTTTGCATCCAAGTATGAGTCACAGGTGCTGAGTTCAAAGTATCTGATGACAATAACAAGGTGTGGTTTAATGATCATTACCAGAATGCTCCTAGCAACACTAAACTGAAATGGGAAAGATAAGGAAAGGGTGTTGAGAGTTCAGCTCTAGGAACTCACTGATCCATGAAAACCAGTGGAAGAAGGCTTCAAACCTGCTTATCAAAAGATAATTAAAGACTCTGGGTGTCACGGTCCTTATCTACCTACAGATACTCAGTATGCTTCTGAGTCAATAGGTTACATTTTAGATAGTGACCTAATGAGCTGAGTGTAGATGAAGTCACTAGTGATTGTTTCACTGACTGTATACTGGATACATACCAACCACTTGCTGACCACTTCTGAAAATGTCAATATCAAGGTTGTGCCTCCTTGCCCAGGAGCTGATAATGTTGGAAGCAATGATGGGAAGCAGAGGAAGGACAGAAGATAAAAAATTAAGTACTAAAGTGTGAGGGCTAGTGCTTTAGCTTAACTAAAGGGGTATAACAATATTCTGAGGACACATGGAAATGCAGGCTCCCCTTTCCTAGTGAAATATGCGTTGACTTCCTATCAGGCAGCAGGGGACAGAGAAGCTTCACTGGGAATGCAGTCTAGGTAGAATGTCATGGAGACAGCTATGGCTTAGAATCCTGCAAGTCCTTATATGGTCTTGAGCAGAGCTAAGTGTGACAGGGATGTAGGTGATATTGATGACAGAATGAGAAGAATCAGGGATGGAGAGAGAGGCGGCTCAACAGTTAGGAGCACTTACTACTTGTGCAGAGGGCCTGAGTTCAGTTGCCAGCACCTGCATCAGGCATCTCACCCGACCCCGCAACTCCCGCTCCAAGGGATTTCCTGACCTCTGTGGGTACCTGCACTCACATTCACAGAATTAAAGTTTTTAAATTGAATAAAATGACAAGGATTGAACTAGAAAGAACTATAAGATTCTTTCTGTCTTATGACATATTAGAGGTTACAAACTTTGTCTTTTAACCTCTATATCAGTTTAGGTTTGAGTTTTATTTTAAATTCAAATGTCGTGTCATTTGATATCTGACCACTGAGTGCTGAGCTCTGTGCTCAGTTCCATAGAATATCAGGAAAATGACTGTGGGGCGAGGAGTACACAGAGTCCTTAATTTATCAATCCATGGACTAAATGTTAGATGCAAGACCAATCCCACCACACAAGGTGACATGATAATAATGCCTTTTACCTTTGTCCCTTGTCATGGATGGGTGTCAGGTTTCAGGTCCTGATGTAGGAAACTAAGGCACAGAATGACTTAATGACAGAACCTCCAGAGACTCTATCACTGGATTTCCCTGACTCTTCAAGGCCAAGACACCTGAGATACTGCAATGAGTTTTGTTGTGAGGGCCCTTGATGTATTCACACATGTACTTCCAGCTAGAAGACTGAGGGAAAAAAAACAGACCAACTTTAGTAAAGAACTGAATACATGTTTCTCAAGAAATTTCTGCTACAGTTTGCATAGATTAAATTTCCCATAATTAGGCAGTGAAGCACATAATTCATGAAGGAAGGGTATGTGTTGAGGTCTCCTATATAATAGTCTCTCCCCTCCATCTTTATTGCATACACTAACTGCTCACTCATCTTCTCATCTCCACTGGACAGAAAGTCTCTGTTTAATCCTTGCCTGTTACATTTTTATATACAATTGTTAGCATGGCTAGTTCCCTATGTCTTAGTTTTCCAGTCTTTAACTAGCTTTTAGCCACTGTACCCCCTACCAGGTCTCCAACTGGCAGTTCCTTCTGTTGTAAATAGTGGGCATACACTGAAATGCCTCGTAGTTTAACAAGCAGAAGGGGGTAAATCCACCTTGTGTCTCTGGAAACACTTTTTGAATGCCCTCCAGCTCCCAATAATTACAGATGATTCCATGTACTATAATAATTTCACCAATACTCTATATCTCCCTATATTCCCCAGCCTTTTGTATGGCTATGATAAATTCAGGTAAAAGAAAACATAACGATTCAAGTAAAACTGTTAAGTGTTCTTATAAAAGGCCCAGAAATATACCAAATTATAAGGGTTAGCTTTTTTCCAGAGGGACCACATACTTGACAAAAATAATTTGTTTCCCCCTCTCAGGATTTAGAGATTATCAATCTGTAATAGTGTGAATAGCATATTGGAACATATCACATCATAAAAGGCAGGATGCAGAGAAGTAATAAGAAAGGGCCAGGGTGGTATATAGCCTCCAAAGACACACTTTCAATGACATATTTTCTCTAATCGACTCACTTCCCATCTTGCAATAGTCTGTTCTCATTGTGAATCCATCAATAAAGACCTCGTGATAAAGTATTTCCTGGAAGCTTTTATAGAAGTTATAAGTGTTAACTAACATATGCATTGTTCTCAATGCTGAATATCCCTTATTTGATCATGGCAGCCTGAGATAGGATGAAAATGGCTTTGGATAATACTTCTTTTTTTTTTTTTAAAGATTTATTTATTTATTATATATGAATACACTGTAGCTGTCTCAGACACACCAGAAGAGGGCATCAGATCTCATTACAGATGGTTGTGAGCCACCATGTGGTTGCTGGGATTTGAACTCAGGACCTCTGGAAGTGCAGTCAGTGCTCTTAACCACTGAGCCATCTCTCCAGCCCCTGGATAATACTTCTTTTATGGTATCTTTATAAGCATGATAGTGGACTGCCTTTATAAGCTAAGTGCCTGGGAACCTTCTATCCTTTGCTTAGCTTGGGAGCATTTTGGAAACTGGTGATGGTAATATATTAGGCAACACACAGAAGATAAAAATAGAGATGTTGACATCTAGACATATTTCAAATACTGGCTCTGTTGTTTTCTAGCACTGTGGCTCTTGCTGAGTCACTGTACATTTCTCTGAGCCTGTCTGTTTATATGTAATGTGAAATGTTAACTAGTAGCACTGGCACGGAGTTCTTGAAAAGATTAGAAAGAAAATAGAATGTAGCACAGAGATGACATGTAGCAAGATGACCATGACTAAGTTAGAGTTCTTAGATCACATGGCTACAAATACTACCTCTGACACTTGCTGTGTGGAGACTAGAGAAAATCACTTTATCCTTATTGTTGGTTAAGTCCTGGGAGGCAGACACTGAAGCAATCAGTAGACAGGATAGATATCAGACTGGATCCTTAGCATTAGCATCCTGGAAGGGAGAAGAAGGAAACAAGAATGGGAAAGACAGGCAGTAATGCAGTTCCAATAAAAGTACCAACTGACCCAATGACACACTCTGAAAGTAGGATGCTCCTTCCAAGTGGTCTCATGTTGGAGCTTGGCACTTGCATCTTTAAAAGCTTATTTATACTAGTCAGCCACTAAATGTAGTTGGTGTTAGAACCAGGCATGAGATAGTTTTTGGCAGTGGAAATAGTCACCGCCAAAGATTGCCAGCATCAAAGTACCATCTTCTGGAAGGACTGCTACAAACAAAAAAGTCCTTCATTCTTGATTGTGCATCTCAGTGTCTACCACAATCAACCTCTACATTCACCTCTGGGAAGTATAGATAACAGTAATAGGGTTACAGTAAGGAGTAATGAACTTTGAAGAGCTGGTATCCAACAAGTTTTAACTTAGAGATTGACGAAGTAGTTTGGAACCCCAGTGGATGGTAGTCAATGAAGTCATAAGACTCATTTATTTCTTCAGAGTCATTAATGAAAGTAATATTAAAATCATTAGACCATCCCTTTAAGAGATAGATAAAGGTTAGAGATGTAGTCCAGTAGTAGAGTAGTACATAAAGTCTTGGGCTCCATCCTGTATCATACAAAACCAAAAGAAATAACTACAAAAACATATGAGGAAGGCAAATCATGACAAGAAGAAACTGTCAAGTTCAATGGTATAATAAACTAAGTAAGAAATCAGAAGTATGTATCAGCTTCCTCGTATAATGGGATCCATTCAGTTCCTTACTCTATAGAGATACGTATTTTACCCCCATTGATTTCATCTCCTTTTCATGTTAGCTTTTAATAGAGGAGTGTGTGTGTGGAGTTCAGCTTTTTTTCCATTATGCCCATGACAGAGATGACAGAAGAGCTGCAGAAACCTAAGGAGCATTATCCTACATTGTTAGTGTCCTCCTAGACGTTTTGAACCTGGAGAAGCCAATTGGACTTGGTCCTCATGGAAGAATTCATTTCTGGTTTTGTGAAATGTCATTTACTGCTCTGGTTTTTGTTCCCAGGGTTCTACGCCAGCCAGTGGGCAAGATTTTCTTTGCAGGCACTGAGACAGCCTCACACTGGAGCGGCTACATGGAAGGGGCTGTGGAGGCTGGGGAGAGAGCTGCCAGAGAGGTAGGGCCCAAGATCATGGGCAGTGGTGGAGGGGGACACACAAAACTTGATAAACAGCTCAAAGATGAGATCTTGACAGCTACCTCCCAACAGTCACACACACACACACACACACACACACACACACACACACGCACACGCACACACCATATTCCCCATCTTAAGACCCAGGAAACACCATTACAATACCAGTTTTAAGTAAAGGGAATACCTTAAACAAAATAATGAAAATATCTAATATTTTACCTGAAGTGTGTGTGGGGTCAAAACTCAGCTGTACTTAAGAAATGATAGGACTGGAAAGATGGTTCAGCAGTTAAAAGCACTTCTCACTCTTTGAGGGGACCCAAGTTTGGTTCTCAAGATCCTGTAGGAGGCTCACAACTGCCTGTCACTTCTGAACTCAGAGAACATCTACACATATAACATATACACACACAGACACACAGACACACAGACACACAGACACACAGACACACACACACACACACACACACACACACACACACACACAGATGCACATAATTACAAATATAACTGATCTTTAAAAATAGAGGATCTCGAAAGTGGCTCAGCAGTTAAGGGACTCACTGCTCTTGCAGAGCCTTGGTTCCCAGAACTCGGTTTTTGGGTATCTGGTGCCCTCTTTTGGTTTCCAAAGCTTCATTGAAGTACCTAGTGCACTTATATACAAACTCATGCAAGCACACATACACATACTTTAAAAAAAAACTTTAGTAAAAAATAAAAATGATGACCTAGGTTTGATATTATAGTCAAAAATAGTTCTATGTTCAAAATTCACTTTTATTCTTTTTTTGTTACTGTTGGCAAGTCTTCTAATCTCATTCCTATTAAGTTATGCTCACAAGTACTAAAATTTATGATGAAACTAATGGTTGAGATCATTTATATTATAAACAAAAACTCTTGGGGGGGATTTTTGAAGGTAAAAGTTGATTGTTCTGCCCTTTACTTGACACTGTTGACACTGTTGATGGATATTCCAAGAGACATTCACTAAGTTCTTTTTTTAAAGAATTAAAGAAAGGTGGTATCTGTTTTGTTATTTGTAATAGCAAAGTAATCTTTCATTTCAGATTCTTCATGCCATTGGGAAGATTCCAGAAGATGAAATTTGGCAGCCAGAACCAGAGTCTGTGGTAAGCTATATTTCACAGATTTACATGTCCTTACTCTGAGAATGATTGCTCCCAAGAACACACTTGTATATATCCACGTACCTTTTCCTAATAATTCAGTGCATAGAAGTCTAAGTAAATCACATGACTTAGGGCTCAAAGATTCAGGTGAACTTTGATACATTTGTATTGCTACATTTCTTGCAGATTAATAGGAAAATAGGATATTTGATGGTAAGGAAATATTTCCCAGAGAGATCTAGATACAATTTTTAAAAATCAGTGGGAGATGAGACATAGCTTAATGGCAGAATGCTTGCTTAGAGTGTGTAAGATACTGAGTTTGATATCTAACACCACAAGAAGCAAGGAAAAAAGAGAATAGAAGAAAAACATTCACCGGGCAGTGGTGGCGCATGCCTTTAATCCCAGCACTTGGGAGGCAGAGGCAGGCAGATTTCTGAGTTCGAGGCCAGCCTGGTCTACAGAGTGAGTTCCAGGACAGCCAGGGCTACACAGAGAAACCCTGTCTCGAAAAACCAAAAAAAAAAAAAAAAAAAAGAAAGAAAAAGAAAAGAAAAACATTCACCCCTCAAAATAAGAATTTAATCAATGTCCATTGAATGATTTTCCTTACTAATTCTCAACAAGAGGCAGGAAATGAGAGTTTATTCTCTTCTATCCAGGGTAGGGGGATGGAATAAAACGGACCACATTTAAACTCATTTCCACTACATTTTTGCAATAAAACTAGACATTTTTTTCTGACTCATAGGAAGGATCTATAGAAGATAGAATAATAGAAACTGGGAATCTAAAAGGCTGGTTAGTCCTCTATCCTTTTAAGCCTGAAGCCATAGAGGATAGCCCTGACACTTCAAAATGACTGCCTTAGTGCATCTGCTAGAAATGGGATGGTGGGCTGTGGGTGTGGTTTAATCTCCTTGAACAAATCTTTATGCTGCACATGGGCCATTGTGGTCAGAGAATGGTAGTATTTTCAGATGGGAAGACAGATAGTAACTCCCAAATACAATTTTGATAGAGGGTATACTGAGAGAAAATATGTAAGGTGGAGCCATCTCAGCCTAGAACCTGCAGAAAAATAGCAACTTGACATAAAGGGCCAGGTGAAGGAAAGAGGATGACCCCACAGAGGTTGGAATGAAATTAGTGGATTTTCTAAAAAATAAAAATCTGGACTAACATGTACAGCCCTCTTCTGACACAAATGTTCTCTGAACTCAGGATGTCCCTGCCAGACCCATTACCAGCACCTTCCTGGAGAGACACCTGCCTTCTGTACCAGGCCTGCTAAAGCTGCTCGGATTTACCACCATCTTCTCAGCAACAGCTCTTGGTTTCCTGGCCCACAAAAGGGGCCTGTTTGTACGTTTCTAAAGATGAGCTTTAGACCCACATCCACAGGCTTCTTACTCAGTGTGTCACAAAGGCTTCTATAAGGAGTTGAGACAAAAATCTAACAAAGATGCAGAGAATATGGAGTGAGAAAGCACAGTAACTTGTTCTCCATTTTGCCTGTCTGTTAGCATCCCTTACTGTGGTTGGCTCATTTCCAACTTTCCTGCCCTTTGAATGTTTAGAACAGATACACAGGCTTGTCCCTTGCTCTTTCACAATCTACCTTATGGCTTCAATGCCCTATGGCTTTGTGCTTTGTCTTTCCTCTGGTGTGTTATGTCCTCACATTTATCGAGTTCTTCGACATTGTCCCTAGAATTCTGTCTTGTTAGAACTGGAAGGCATTAGACACTGTAGCTCATTGTCTACTTTAGATTTAAATAAACCAAATGCAACAGAGGTGAACCCTAATTACACAAGACCTACACTAATCTACTGGTATATGGGTGACTGGAACACAAGCTGATGTTTTTCTCTCCTCCAAAGGTTCATTCCCCTATGATCCTCCTCCACCTTATGCCATAGTCACTGATGGTTGTTCTTGTGGATTTATTCTATATTAACTATTATTGTGTTACTCAGTAGCTATCCTCTAGTGTCGCTGTTTTGTGCAGCGTTGCCAGCTGATTCTAATTTTTCTTGAGAGTGGGAGTCTTGTCTTTGTCATTTCTTTTTTGCATCTTCTAGTATGCTTCCTTTCAAAGATCAACACATGCTTAGGTAATTAACAATAAAGCTATTTGACCATATGTTTGCTGTCTCTTCTTTTTGGATGATGACTTTCAAGGTTTTGACAAGCCAAACCAAGAGTTGGTGTTAGGTGATGTGAAAGCAATTAATGAGAACTTTCTCAGAGCCTAGATGTTATATGCATTTTGATGATGTGATCCACCATGGGATCACACATATGAGCACTTGGTGACTTAAGATTGTTAAGTAAGGATGCTGTAAGACATCCTTGCTTTTATCTCCAGCCAAAATCTATCAAAATAATAGACACTAACATACAAGACCTGTAACCTATTAAAGCAATTATAATACTTAAGTTGACCTTTGATATTTCTTATCAATGTGGTGCTCATTACTAGGTAAACCCATTAATTGCAAACTATATGGTCATAGTCCATTAAGTCCTATCTGAACTACTTTTAAAATGAGATCATTATTTTAAATAGCTTATCTTTCTTCACTCACAGGATTAATAAATAATAGTGTTTTTGATCTTACAATGGTATTCACATGCATGGATTTATAGGAACTTTAGAATCTAAATGAGGAAAATAAAGTACCTGTTGAGAATTGCAATTTCTTTTGGGTTTTCTGAATCTGGTTTCAACTGTACTGCTGGGGATAAAGTAGTAGAGCTCAGTGGTGGAACACTCAAACCTCAGACCACAGCTCTGGGCTTCATCCTAAATACAAACTAAACAAAATGAATATAGAAATGATAGCAATTTGAATCTCAGTGAAAACCAGAGATTATTATTATTCCTCATTACTTATTAACTATTTACATCACTGCATTGGGACTGTGCTTTGTGTCTTAAACTATAGGAGCATTGTTTATTTAAGAAGAATGGGTAGCTGGCCTTGGTGGCTCTCATCTAAGATCCCAGCACTTGGAAAGATCTAAGGGTCAAGACTTACCTAAGTATAGAGAAAGCCTGCCTTAAAATAAATAAATAGAGGCCTAAGGGTGTATCTCAGTTGGTACGATGCTTGCTTAGCAAACACAAAGCCCAAAGTAGGACGTTTACTATTTCATAAAACCAGGAATAATAGTGTGTGACTGTAATTCCAGCACTTGGGAAATGGAGGCAGGAAGATTGAGAGTTGAGGATCATCATCTGTTGTATAGCAAATTCAAGGCAAGCCTGGCATGCCTGACACAAACTGAAGGAATCATAATATAAACCAGTATAGAGAATTCTCAAAAAAATCTAAATTTAGATCTACCATATGACTCAACTATAATGTTCCTTACCATATGTGCAAAAGACTTAGCATCCTACTCCACAGATTCTTGCTCAGCCATGTTCATGGATGCTCTAGTCGCAATGGGTAGTAATGGAAACAGCATAAATGCTCTTCAAACAAGGAATGGATAATAATAATAATAATAATAATAATAATAATAATAATAATGAAAGTGTGAATATATATATATATAGCTAAGCTATAAAGCTATAAAAATTTGAACTTTGTAAATGGATGGAATTAGAATATACTATACTGAATGAGATAACCCAGATGCAGAAAAATGAATGTCACAGGTTCTATATTATTTGTGGATCCTAGTTCTTAATATTTAGATGACAATCTATAACTTCAAGTAACTACAGAAACCACATAAGGAAAGGAAATCATGTAGTGAGAAGAAGATCAAGAAAGAGGAATAGCAGGTCACAGGGAGAATATGAAAAATGAGGGTGCTTTAACTGGATGGTGGAGGGAGGGCACTATAGAGGGAGAGGAAGGGATGAGAGTTTCATAACACTAGGACATTTGAAACAGCCATAAAAACCATTTTATATTTATCTAAAATTACATTTAAGGTGTGTGTGTGTGTGTGTGTGTGTGTGTGTGTGTGTGTAAATAATTTGAATGAACTCATATCACACAGGGTGATAGTGCTCCCCTCAAGTGCTACAAACTTGCTAACAAAACCCCAATGTCAGGCCTATGGAACTTCCTTTTGAATTGTTGGTTATGGGAATACAAAAGACTCCCCCAAAATATAGACTATTGCTGTTGCCCTTAGTTTCCTTTCAAAACTTGAAAGTAAAATCCTACTGCTAACAAAACCACATACTTTGAACATAAGACTCAGAGGAATTAGGCTGGAAATGTTGTAGCATAAATGATAATATAGTAAATAAAAATTATGTCTTAGAAATAGATACAATTTGTAAACACACACACACACACACACACACACACAAATCCAAAGGACAGAAGTCATCCAGATATAAGAAACAATTCTGAGAGCAATTTTTGTTTTCTTGTCTATGCTTGTTTAGAATTTTCTGAAATCTCTATTTCAACTATTTTAAACAGCTAAGACACCAAATAAAATAAATAAATGTAGTTTATAGAGTCCCAGATTTGCCAGAACTTTGAAATATGAAAGAAAGGAAACTTTCATCAACGGGTTGAAGTGAACAATAGAAAATAAATAATGGACTCTTTGCTACCTTATTTCTCATTCAAAGCACTGATATTATTGCCATTTGTTATTGAGAATAGAAACTCCTTTCTAGTCAGTTTTCATCCTCTGAACCCCCTAGAGTGTTTGTGCCATTTAAAGGCCTCAAATCAATAAAGGAATAGATTGCCATAGTTCTCACATTGATTCTGTATTTGTAATCCCGCTGTACTCATGCAGTCCCTAAAATGTCTCTGTGCCCACTGGCAGAGAGCCAAATGCCATTTTCCTTCATCCTCATTTTGAAATTATCAGTTGTCTTTTTGTGTTTTAGCTGAAGTAGCACTAATAGCTGCTTTCTTGGATGTATTGATGGATCTATGCTATGCTTCTCAACTGGGGGTGTGCATTAGAGTGATTGGGGTGGATATAGATAGTCCAACTGCCTGAGCACATGGGGAGTTTACCATAGGAGGGTGGTAGGGAAAGGGCATTTCCCCAGCCCTTCTCTGTATAGTTGTAGCCAAAGGCTGAGAATATTGTTCTGAATATATAGGAAGGCAGCGAACCATTCATTGCCTCTGTCCTCTGTCAGCTGCTCAGCTATACTGAGGTAGAAAGAAGATGTCAAAATGATCTGGAATAGAGAGAAATAGTTTACTATATTAAGCATTCATTAAACAACAGACAGAGGAAGACATGTTTCCTTGATCACAGAAGCTCCATGACTAAAGAAAAGTAACTAGAAAGAATAGATGCCTTCCTTTGCTGCTTATGGCCTCACCAACTCTCTAACAAGGATTGCTATGCAGATAATTCACCCTGGAAGTAATCCGGGGATCAAGATTAGTGCACTCCACAAAAATGGTAGAGGACAGTTCCAAGGCTATGGTGCTCAAATGGCTGCTGCTCTGAGATACTGGGGACCCTTGAACAGCTATGCAGAACGTAGTTCTGAATATATCACCCGATGGACCAAAGAAGGGATTACTAATTGCCTACTGATCAACCTCTTCCCAGGAATATTGATTTCTTTGAAATTCCAGGTTTTCCAATACACCAACATGGCTACTAAAGTTGTTGTTGATAGCTTGCTCATTTTGGTCGCTACAGCAACTGCTGGAATGAAAAGATGGGTTGATGCAGTGGTGCTCAATAGTTGTCACATGCAGGTTCCATTGAGAAAAGCACAATATGACATTTTTTTCTTTTCTTTCTTTGGACAAGCAAGAAAAATTGAATTTTAGAAAAATCAGTCTGTTTATGTAACACTCTCATGAATATTTTAGGTAGACACCATTCCAAATTTGTATTATCAAGACTGAACAACTGTGGCATATTCTAAATATGATCTGTTAGCAAGGTCTCACAACAATAAAGCATCCTGAACGATGTTTGCAGGAACCTGAGCGACTTGGTCTTTTCATCTTGTTAGCGTAGCCACTGCTTCCCACTGGACTTCAGTAGTTAAAGATTGATGGAGAGCCTTCCACAGTGGCTCCTACCCCCTCCAGCCAACATCATACAGTTACTTCCTTTGTGTTGAACTATTCCCTAGTGGAGAGAGAGAGAGGTTCATGAAATTCATAAGAAATTTATGAGTTTCACAAATCTCATGAAGCTTTCAAAACTCAGAAGGCCCCTCTCTGATATTATGTAAGCAGTATGCGAGTCTGGGAGTGAGGAAACTCCAGTAGTGCAGCTGCCCACAACTTGGGTAGGGAATTGCAGTGGTACAGCTTCCCTGAGTCATCATCCATGCAGGGGTGGGACACTTTGGTAATGCAGCTGCCTAAATCACCCATGCACTTGTGGTCCCAATAAACTCATTGGCTCACCAAGCTTGGACTTGAGATGGAATTGTTTCTTTGGTCTGTCATTGACATCTCTATCCAGAGTGAAAACAATTAGTCTACTCAAGAAAAAACGATACAACGCTGGCCAGAGGGTCATGAGTTGGTCTGTGTCAAATACTGTGTATCATCGTAATGAATTGTAAGGACCCAGGAAGAGGACCCCATCTCAAGTCCCAATTAGCGCGCACCCAAGGAGACACGAGAGACTGACTTGATGCAATGGCAAAAGGCAGTTTACTAACAAGGGCCCTTGGATCGAAACTCATCCCACGCAGGGGAGAGAATTTCGATGAAGACCCCAGGAAGTTTAGAACTTTTATAGGGGGAGGCACAAGGGGGAAGGGAAAAGCGGGAAATTCTGGCGCAGTTACATATGATTGGATATTTCAAACATCAGCACTTTGCGTAGGCAATCATTTTGACAGGTTGGATGGCCCACTATTTTTGACCATGAAGCCTCAGACCTTCTAGGATAAACACCAGGTGGCCCATTACTCACTTGGGCATGTTTAGACTGGTCAAGATATGTCTTTGGTTGTTTCTACATCTGGTCACCTCATCCCTAGAGGGGCTTGATATTTTTATTATGGCTACTCTCAGAAAGCTCAGCAAGCTGTCCTGCGGTCTTTGCAAAGTTGTTTGTGGTCTCTGCTAAGCTGTTTTAATTTTTACCCTTACAGAATGACTTTGAGAAACAGAGGGGAGCTGGCTAGGTAGCAGGAACTGAAGCCTGATCACTAAATCTGAA